AGTGGTTGTTAGATAAGGCAACTGTTTAGGTGTTTGTTACATAAGGTTTTGTCTCTGTTATACTAACTACCAGGTGACACTTGAAGGTTGCCACAAAATGTGGGAGTCTGGTCCTAATGGGCTCCCCAGCGCAGAGATAACGTGGCTAAAGGACGATGCTGAAAGGGGACTTTTCCAGAGGGCAATGTCTTATAAAGACAAGCACGGCAGCACGAGGTGGAGGAAAGTCCTGAAGGACGACAGAATGTGGTTTAACCCTCCTGAATTTCCTGGAGTGGTGGAAGGGAAAGTCCCCTCAGCACACTCCTTTTTTCATAGCTCCGTTTTTTTCTGAAGACTAGTCGGAGTGTGGCGTTACAGTCTTCAGTGCCCAAGGTCTGACTGCCCGGCACGTTCCAGTCAGAAGGCCTTTCTCTATCGTTGTGGGTATTCGAAAACTGTCAGGCAGATCTGCCACATGTCTGGCTGGTACTCCATGCTGACAGATGTCCTGGCATGCAACGCTTGCAGAAAGGCTGCAAAGGTGTCAGAGGAACACGCCATCGCTCGGTTCCTCTCATGGGATGCGTGCATCCTTGACCAGCTCAGTCCAGCTCACAGAGGTGTGTTCCCTGCTGTCTTGACGTTACGGTGAGTCTCTGCATGATTTCACAATGATTTGATTTCTGATATATTCTGCAAAAAAAAACTAAGAGATTTACAGGCATCTTTCTGCTTTAATTTTAGGCGTGGCGTGGACAAGCAGGTGATCCGCCTGATGAGGGATCGCACCGAGGGCAACACCATGGCCAAGGTGTGGAGGCAGGTCCTGGAGAGCCACTGCGAGGAGTACCTGCAAAGAAAGGACTTGTATACCACCCTCCTCAGCCAGTACAAACAACCTGGGAAGATCACACGTAAGTCAGATTTAACTGTTTTCTTAAGCGTTTAGGCAAAGACTAAGTAGCATATGACTGCAGATTTCCATCTGACTTAAGCACAGCAGGAGCCCTCACTGTAATAGGAACAAATCTCCCCTCCATTCACTCTAAGTTTTTTTTTTGTTTTTCACCACCAATATTGAAGTCTGCGTCTGTGTGTCTGTTTTCTCTGCTTTTAGGGAATTTTGGCCAACAATTCCAGCAACCACCAGCAAGGAGAGAGCTGCCATGTCCAAAGCTGCTGAGAAAGGCCTTTCTCATTGCAGAGGCAGATAACATCGAGGACTATTATTATGTCACACAGATTATGTCCACTTTCGGTAAAGTCCTCAAGTACGACTCAACCAAAAAGGTAAATTTAACAGTCTTACAAATGAAAAAAAAAACGAACAAAAGTCTGATTGTAAATATACAGGATTATTGTCCATATTTGCATCATGGGGGATTTTAATAATTAATAAATAGTAATAATAACTATTATGGTAATAACAGAACCTGGGGCCAGATGTTCAAAATCTTTAATCAAAATTATTTGGGAATCCCATGTTTTGCTATCCAGGATCAGGTAACCCATTTTATAGCTGTGCAGGTTTTTCAAAGGAAAATTGTATTGGATCACCCTGATCCAGATACACCCTTTTTCAGATTTCCAAATCTGGATTACTAGTGCTCTACAGAGTTTAGAGGGGCTGTGATGGAAAAAAGAAAAATGAGATTGGGAAAAGAAAAAACAACAAAAACAAAGTTTGCATTAAATATAATATTTTTTTTTGATATTGACAGCTGTTTAGGGATATATTACATGTCACAAATGTTGTATTTTTAAGACCAGTTTTAAAGTTTTATTAGATTTTTGTTCCTGAAATTCACCCTTCTGTGCTGGGATCAGATTAATCCAGGTTTTTTTGGATTTTTTGAAACCTTTTTGAAAAACACAAACTGAGGATTTAATCCAGATCAAAATTTTGTGATCTAATCCGGATTCAGAATCTTTTTTTCTTTTCAGCAACCCATTTTCAAGATTTGATCCAATCCGATGGCTAAAATCCAATCAGATTACTTTTGAACAACTGGCCCCTGAAGAAACTAATAAGCCAACACTGTGAAAAAAACAATGACTGAATGAAAAATTATGATATAAATGTTTGAATCTCTACGTTTTGTATTCGTTATTAGATTTGCAAGAAACTTTCCGGGGACGGAAAGGGCACGGCGGAATGGTGCACCAACGTGGCCAACGAGCTGGGCCAGATCCTAACGTCGGTGCTGACCTGTGAGGAGTCGCTGGACAAAATGCAGCCAATGGCTGAAGGCCTCATGGAGAGGTACAGGAGAGCTGACGAGTCACCTCCCGAGCTCATGTACGTGGATCTTCTGTGGAACAACTCTTCAGTGAGTGGACAGACAGGGGTATGCTGGTACGGCTCGACATCTTTCATTGGATCCATCGATTTGATGTGGCCCTACGGACGGATCACCATCCAAAGTATGCCCTGTTTAAGTCTGCCCTCTCCGCTGCGGTTTTTGCCTACAACAAGGACGACGTGGCTCTTCTGGTACAGGTGATACACGCCGGTCACCCAACGAGCTATGCTTCCCTGACTGACAGCCAGATCATCGAACTGCATGTCAGCAAGTCAGACCTCAGCCATCATGTCAGGAGGATCACAGTTGGTTCCCAGGAAACCTGTGCACGTGTCCAGAGTGCCATTGACATCATCAAGGGAGCAGCTGGGATGGATGAGAACCAGGTGCATTTGTTCAAGGACACTGCGGCCATCGACCACGTCTGGGAGAACCAACAGAAGCACCTCGAATGCATCCAGGATCCACCGGGGAGAAACATGTACACCATTACAAAGTACATGACCCGTAACAGTGTGCGTCTTCCGCGATACAGCACGGTGAGAGGGAGCAACAGCCTGGAAGGCTTTCACTCTTTTTTGCCCAACATGATCCCTGGGCCCCACTGTGCTGCGGTCCCCTTCCAGGTGTATCTCCTGGCTGGCATTGGACGCTGGAACTCTGACAGGGAGTCAGCAAGCGTCAAAGGCCAAAAAGGGAGAAAGCACATGGTGTACGTGTCTCCTCTGGTACATTGGCTGAATCAAAGGTGTCAGGAACTGTTTGGGGAGGTGGAGGAGGCAAACTACAGGCCTCCAGTTCCTGCTGGTGATGAGCGGATAGGTTTGGAGTATCTGTTCTCTCAGTCATCAGACCCTTTCAGTGCTCCTGACCATTACGCTCAGACCAGAGAGACACTTCGAGTTGGTGAGGATGAAGATGATGAGGTTTCTGCTGCAGTGGCAGAGGAGGAAGAGGAGGAGGAGGAGGAGGATGTGGGATACAACTCTGACAGTGGGGGTGACAGTCTGACTCCTCTAAGAAACCGTCTGTGCCTGACTGACCAGGTAGCGGCTGTGGAGTTTGATCCCTGTGTGGAGGATGTGTGTGGTCCGAATCATCTCCCTGGGTACCAACACATCGAGGATCTGTGCAAAGTCCTTGTTGAGATCGCCTTGGAGGAGGGAAAGCTTGCGATAAGTCACTCGACCAGACAGAGGGTCATCAGCGCCTGGAACAACCTTGACTTCCACGATCGCAGCATCCAGCAGTTCGACAGCCTTTACTCAGCACGCTGGGGCAATGCTCTGTTCGGCCAAACATGCGGAGAACCGTCTGAGGCGTCTTTGGTGCAAAAGCTGAAGTTCAGTAAGCGTTACTCGGCCGCCCACTTAGTTGACTCCAGAAAGAACCGTCTGATGTACTGCCTAATTAAACAGCAGAAAGTGACTGTAGATGACGCTGAACTCAGCAAACTCGGCATTCCGATCCTAAAAATTAATTCAAAGTGTGTCAGCGAGTTCATCAGGAGGCGGGAGTCCTTGTCAGCCACAAATGTGACGGATCGAGGTTTGGCTGTCCTCCGTCGTCATCAGAGTGTTTCTAGTACCAGCCAGCCCCCAGCGATTGAGCTTCCTGACGAAAGACCACACACCAGCCGACTTACAGTGCAGTATCAGGCCACTGCATCTTTGGCAGGGACCAGAAAGCTTAAACAAAGACTCCCACATCTCTTATCTGTGCCCCGCTCCTCTCACTCAGCTGTTATCTGCACCAGTCCAGACCACACGCACGTACACACCCATTCAGCTGATGGCTGCACCCCTAACAGGACCTCCTGCCGTTTCCCTGCCGCAGGCATCCATTCCGCCACCGTTGCCAGCCAGATCGACGTTCTACAAAAGGAAAAAAGCAGAGCGCATTGGCACGGGACATCCGGCCACAGTAAAAGTGTACATCTGTGCAATGTGTGGGCAACCCACTCAAGGCCACAAAAAGTACACAAAAAAGAGCTACCGTGAAAGTTCAAAGTTCAAAATCATCCACGTCCAAAGGCCTTGCTGGACAGACTTTTGAGAATTTTGCAGACTTTAAAAAAGCAGTGGACATTCTCCTCAAAGAAGTCCTCATCCACACCTTCAAAGAAGTCCTCATCCACAGCATCATCAGCAGCCACAGCATCATCCGCAGCCTCATCCACACCTTCAAAGAAGTCCTCATCCACAGCATCATCAGCAGCAGCAGCATCATCCGCAGCCTCATCCACACCTTCAAAGAAGTCCTCATCCACACCTTCAAAGAAGTCCTCATCCACAGCATCATCAGCAGCCACAGCATCATCTGCAGCCTCATCCACACCTTCAAAGAGGTCCTCATCCACAGCATCATCAGCAGCCACAGCATCATCCGCAGCCTCATCCACACCTTCAAAGAAGTCCTCATCCACACCTTCAAAGAAGTCCTCATCCACACCTTCAAATAAATCCTCATCCACAGCATCATCAGCAGCCACAGCGTCATCCGCAGCCACATGCACACCTTCAAACAAGTCCTCATCCACACCTTCATCAAAGAAGTCCTCATCCACAGCCTTTACTCATGTTTTCCCAGTAGAACCATCACAGAGTGACTCCCCAGTGAGTAATATTTACATACACAAATGTATTAAACATAAATGCTAAAAGTTGGAGTGATATTACACATGTATTGTTATGTAATTATGTTTTCTGTTTTGACATGTTTCAGGTCAAGCTGGAGGGCTGGGTGCGACTGTGGGAAAATCCCAACGGCATTCCACCAGCTGATCTCTCCTGGGTGAAGGACGACACCGAGCGAGGACTCTTTGGCCCTATTCAGGTGTATCGCGACAATGCTGCGGTATTGAAGAGGTGGCGTGTAATAAAATCAGACCGCATGTGGTTTTACCCTCCAGAACCTCCAGGCTACATCAGTGGTAGTGTGCCAACTCCACATCTCTTCTTTTGGGGTCGCATCTTTGTGTGGCGGCCCGTTGGAGTTTGGAAATTCTCACTGAAGTGTCCTCGAGGAGAAGAATGTGTGGGTCAAGGAAAAAATGTGTACCTCTACAAATCAGGCTACCACACCAAGGTATTACATATTATTTATTAGATTAGTTAATATTACAGTTGGTATACAACAATGAAATGATTTATTAGTATGTAAATACACCTACAGATCAAATAAAACAATGCACTGTGGGTTTAAATTTTTTTTTTTAATATATTGCAGGTTCGTCACATTTGTGACGTTTCCAGCTGGTACTGTATAATAACAGAGGTCCTGTGCTGCGGCCCGTGTACAAAAGCAGCCAGGGGTGGCGGCAGTGGCAAGGTGGGCAGGTGGTTGGCGTGGGATTCCACCATTCTGTGTCAACTTAGTGAGGCTCACCAAGCCATGTTCCCTGCTATTCTGACAGACAAGTGAGTACACTAAACATTGGTGTAAAAATAACATGCCTTGAATTAGTTGGCATATTAATAATCACACTTTACAGGCGTGGTGTGGACAAGAACATGGTGCAGCTTCTGAGGGACCGGACTGAAGGGAACACCATGGTCAAAGTGTGGAGACAAATCCAGGAGAATCATGTTGAGGAGTATCTCCACAGGAAAGACCTGTACACCACAGTCCTCATGACTCTCGTGAAGCCTGGGGGAATCGTTTCGGCCTTAGGACACACGTTTGAGGCTCCACCTCCTCAAAGAGAGCTTCCCTCTGCTCGCCTGCTTCGTCATGCCTTCCTGCTGGCAGAAGCCAACAATGTACAGGACTACAGGAACCAGATTCTCTCCACTTTTGGCACAGTGCTAAAAATGGACTCCACTAAAAAGGTACATACAGCAATACGAAACGTATAAAACATGGTTTAGAATTTTTTTTTCATTATTTACTCACCGTCACGTTGGTCCAAACCATTGTGACTGTTTTTCCTCTGTTAAACACAATGACAGCTACAGAAAGAGTTTTCATTTTTGGTCTGTTCCTTTAATACGTATGTACACTGTTTTGAATGCAAATGTATGTACACTTCATAGTGTGAAGTGTACATCTCAGTCTCTCACATCTTGCAGGTGGTGAAGAAGCTGTCTGGAGAGGGTAAAGGCACAGCAGAGTGGTTCACCAGCATAGGCAATGAGCATTCACAGATTGTCTCATTTGTTCTTACCTGTGAAGAGTCCACCGAGTGTCTGAAGCCCATGTGTCAGGGAGTAATGGACCGCTTCCACCAGGCCAATCAACCTGTGCCCAAGATCTTGTACGTTGACCGCGGGTGTTGTCGTGCACAAGGCCCGACCGCTGTGGAGAGCTTGTTCCAGACGTGGGTGGAGAATGGCTTGGTGGTGCGTTTGGACATTTTCCACTGGATACATCGCTTTGATGCAGCCATTCGCACAGACAGCCACTCCAAGTATGCTGTGTTCAAGTCTGCCCTAGCAGGAGCGGTGCTGGCCTACAACCGCGCAGACTTGGAGCTGCTCATCAAGGCTGTCAGAGCAAAGGACCCGACAGCTTTTGACACGGTGACTGATGAAGACATGGTGCGACTTTATGTATCCAGGGAACAGCTGAAGCACCATGTTCGCAGAGTCACACTTGGGGCTCAGGAGACCTTCTGGCTCATCCAGATAGCCATAGATGAGCTCAAAGGTCCTGCTGGGCTAGACCAAAGTGGAGTCAGCCTCTACAAGTCGCCAGGTAAATAATTTGATGAAAACATACAAGAAAAGCATATGCAGAACATAGAAACTATATGATCTACATTTATTGTTTCACTATATACTGTGCTGTTAGTGTATATTATAAATAAACAGTAGGCTATATAACTGTATATCTATTTATCATGTACTGTTGACACATGCATACTATCTCGTGTTTAAATATTTATTGTGATTTCTTTACAGAAGCAATAGACGGTGTGTGGGACGGCCAGCAAAGACACCTTGAGTGCATTCAGGATCCTCCAGAGATGAGCATGTACAGAGTGTCTCATAGCACCAACATCAACGGGGTGGACGTTCCTTATTACAAGTGTCTCTGTGGAAGCAACAGCCTGGAAGGTTTCCACAAAGTTCTACCTCACATGATACCAGGTACAAGTTAAACAAACGCGCAACATGTTTTCAGACATTCAGTCCTTACCTTCATACGATGCACACCAATTGTATCTTTGAAGACCACACTGTAGCAGCCGTCCACCCATACCCTGCTTACGGTCAGATTATCTGCTCTGTCTTTCATATATACCTGGTGTACTTACCTGCTCACTAGTTCTCTATCTGTGCCTGCCGAACTGCATCATACTCACCTGACATACTCGCCTGCTGTGCCATCCGTCGTGCTTTTTGTGGTGTAGTTCCTTTATATCCTGCTGCAAATAAACACTGCTTTGGGTCATGTCATGATTTTAATGCCCTTTTCTGTCATTCCAAGGTCCCCACTGTGCTGCACGTCCCTATCAGATTTACCTGATTAGTGGAATCGCTCGTTGGAACTCGGACCGCAGTTCTGAAGCTGTGTTTGGTGGCAAAGGGAGAAATCTCAGATCCTACTCTGCACCTCTGATTGAGCGCCTCAACACCCGCTGCCAGCAGCTGTTTGGAGAAACTGTGGAGGAGAATTTCCGCGCCCCTGCTGCTGTGACATCAAATGAGCTGCTTGGTTTGGAGTACCTCTTCAGCCAAAGCACAGGTGAATCTGGTGCCTTCTCCCTCAGTGACCTCTCAAAGGACGGACCCAGTCCAGAGGAGGAGGTGGTTCAGCCTGACCAGCCTGACCCCGATGAGGACGATGAGGCCTACCAGAGCGACCCAGAGGCAGAGCAGTACAGGGTGACTGCTGACCCGGCCTACATAACCCTTACCATGGAAGAAACCACCACTGCTCACCCTCTGGCCTTTGTGAGTCATTTTCTGTTCACCTGAATGCACCACTAGTATTTATTCAGTCTTTTTAGTCTGAGTGTTGACTGATTTTAAAACGAAGCCAATTGATGCAAACATTTTAGCTTAACGTGATTGTTATACTTTCCAACAGGAGGATGCCTGTAGCCCCAACCCGCTGCCTGGATTCCAGCAGCTGGAAAACTTCTGCTCTCTGCTGGTGAAGATTGGCCTGACTGCGAATAAGCTGAGCCTGACGACGGAGCACAGGAACAGGCTCATCGCCGCATGGCACGCTGTCGAGGAACATGACAAGCAACCACAGAAGTTTCATCAACTGTACAGAACACACTGGGGTAACACATTGTATTGCCGCACAAAGAGGGACGATCTTGCTGATGCTGCTGTGATTCAACGAGTCAAGATCTTAAAAGAACGATCAGACATGGTGATGCCAGCTCCAAAAAACCCGTCCCAGGCAAAACACCCTGAATCTCCACTGACGTCTGACTTACCCCAGCAGAAAACTCCAGCCATGTCTACCATCTTCAGACCTCTACCTAGAATAACTTCATCCACTGCTCCTACACAAGTTATTCCGGCCACGTCCACAAATGCCACACCTGTGTCTTCCAGCCAGACTGACACGTCACAGAGTGCTGACACCCCTTCGGTCTGGTCTAGAGCAACAATATACAAACGAAAAAACACAGTAATTCTTACTCAAGTTGGAGCAAAGCTTTCACATGTTCACCACTTGCCCATTTGCACACTTTGCCACCAACCCACTCAGGGACACAAAAAATATAAAAAGAAGACTTTTTGTCCCATGAAAATGATGTGGACCTCCAAAGGATTTGACAACAGAGTGTACACCAGCTATGAACACTTTACCACAGTTGTGGACTCACAAGAGTGAACTTTGTCTTGCTGTTCTAAAGTTCAACTAGGACCACTGTTGTGTCGTTTTTATTTTTAGAGTTACATTTCATGTAACTACAGTTTATATTGAATATTGTTTATTCTAGTTATTTTGTGCATCAGTCAAATATTTCGTTTAAACATAATATAGTTTTATATACATATATATATATATATATATATATATATATATATATATATATATATATATTACACTGAATATTTTTTATATATTTTTTTATAGACGTTTATATTGAATATTGTTTTTGTACTTTATTTTAATTCATTCAAGTTTTATTCTATTTCATGTACCTAATACTTCGTCATGTAACTAAATATTGTTCTGAATATTGTTTGAATTGCTCTATATATTTCATGCACATACTTTATATTTGATGTAACTATAATAATTTATATTTGATGTAACTAGTTTATATTGAATATTGTTTACATTGTTTTATATATATATATATATATATATATATATATATATATATATATATTTTATTACATATAACGTCATGTAACTAAATATTGTTCTGAATATTGTTTGAATTGCTCTATATATTTCATGCACATACTTTATATTGGATGTAACTATAATAATTTATATTTTATGTAACTAGTTTATATTGAATATTGTTTACATTGTTTTATATATATTTTATTACATGTAACATTTTATATTTCATGTAACTGTAAATAAATTCAGAACTTATAGCATTAAAGGAATCTGTCACATATTTTACATATAATTGTCTTGGAAAAGACAGCTTTTTAATAATTTTCACTTAAGATAATGGTTAATACATTACCTTAAATAATGAACAACACCAAAAGTAAAACAAAACTGTACTTTCATGTATGAAATTGGGATGCATTATAAAACACTGAAAATACATAAAAACAAAAGTATTACAACTATATACTGTAACAAAATATAGTCAGTGCAAGAATAACATACATTACATTTACATTATATTAAATAGTCATTTTAAATAAAGCACGGGACAACAATATGATGTCAAAATGTTTCTTTTTCAGTTTTCATGATGAATAGAACACTTGATTGATTATACTGATAATCATAGACATCAGACTAACAACAACTGTCAAGCACATTGAGTTCAAATCTCTTACATTTACATGAAATCAATAAACATATCAAAATAAAAATTAACAATAAATATAGAATGAATATAAACAATATAATACAAACACATTATGAACAAACACATTTAATCAAAAAATCACTCTCCAACCATGTGCAAACTGACACAAAACTGACTTGCTAATACCCATATACACCTGAAACAAATAAATCAAATATGTCAAAAAATCTGTAGATACACATCCAATCACGTTACAGATCAATTGCACTACAGTCCGGCGCATCCCCCTCGCAAGGAATCAGCACAACTGGAGTGCAATGGCTGAGCCATAAATAAAAAGAAAAGAAAACTCAAAAATGACTGATGGCAACGAGGTAACTGATCGTCTATTTACACGCCGCTTAACTTTAATTTAAGTTGTTTTTCTACAACTAGAGGTCTGCACAGGCTATAAACTGAAGCCTGAACCCGACCCGTACCCGAGATCGTCTGACCCAGCCCGACCCGACCCGAGCAGCACAGTTCAATTTAGAGCCCGAACCCGAAATCTTTTTTTTTGCCCACAACGAATAGCCAATTTTTTAAAAAATGCTGTATTTCACGATTGCATGCAACGGTCAGTAAACAAATACATGTAAAGAAACAGAATCATTCAGGCTCGGCCAGTTCACAAGGTTAAAGAAAAAACACTTACCAGTTATGAAAGTTTATGAACATCAGGTGCCTCGGTCACATAAATTCTGCCGAGTTTTTGAATGGTTGTATAATTCTTCCATCGTGCAAATTATAGTAATTTTCATCAGTTAAGGCTCGTTAGCATTCGGCCTGCTTTAAATCAGACACAGAGATGCAGTGTGGTAAGATTGCATTTATTTGAATTAATTAATTATATCATTTATTTGAATTAGCGAGAGAGAGAGAGAGGGAGGGATGAAAGTTGCGTGTGAGAACCTGCGTCTGAGCGCCTCTCTCTACAAGCAATGAGGCTTAGTTACTTCAAAAACAGCGATTTTACCCCCTCATTGCAGAGAAATATAAAGTTGCGAGTCAGTAGCCTGTCGAAGCTATTTTACTAATAAAAGTTTCCGTGCTGTGTTGTCGTTGTCGTGTGCACTAATGTGTGTGCGTGCGTCTATGAAAGCAGCGTAGCCTAGGCTACTGCATGTAGTTTTAGTTTAGCTATAAACCCGAGCCCCACCCGAACCAGAAGCTATTCATTAAACATTAACCCGAACCCGACCCGAAACCCAAAAGTATTTCGGGACCCGTCGGGCTCGGGTCGGGTAGCAGACCTCTAATCTGCGAGGGCAGACCTCCGTGGGAGCCGAGACAGAACCCTCATTGCTTGCTCTGCTATTCGTCACACAGACATGAGAGATATGTACGCACCCACATCACAGCAAACAAAGCAGCAAGACTTTTCCTCACGTTCATCTCAGCTACTTCGTTTAGACAGAATTTACCTCAGATGAAGAAGACGCGCTGAGATGAATAAGCTTTGGATAACCTCAGAAAAAGAAGAACGCAGTTGGTTGATCAAGCGGACATCATTTACATGAGTAAATCTTTTTTTATGAACCTACTTGCATTAGTTATCACATAACTTGTACACATTTTACTAATTAAACTTTTTCCAAACTATATTGTATTTCCTGTGTAGCGAATCAGCTCATGGGGAAATATGAATAATTAATCATAACTAGTTATAATTAATTATAAATATTTAGATCCGCTGTAGATATTTACTTGACCTCTCAGGGTCAATTGTCTGTCAATTCTAAGAACGTTAATTTCCTGGTTAAGGGAAATAACTTTCTTACTGTACAGCTCTACACAGAGCTTGTAGCATAAATCTGCATGATAAGGGACTCCAGTTATGAGCAAACAATGAACAACGTCAAGTGTGATACAAGTAAGGCTTTATTAACTGCATAAACACTTAAACTAGTCTTAACATATTACATAAACACTTAAACTGATCTAACATACACATAAACACTTAATACACACACACATACACATACAGTTGGTATAGGAAAGGGTTAAAGCTTAACTCAGTAAAGAGGAGGGAGAATAAGAATATGAAGTTATGGAACCATTTGCATATTCTGCAGATCTACACCTGAAGGAAACCTCAGATTCTTAGTTCAAACACACCTTTGTAAAAAGGTGCAAATGATACATAATGTATCAATTAATAAGACTAAGTTTGAATACTTGCACGTCTCATCTGTCTGAAAGAAAGGCTTGATGCAGGTCAAGGTTCAAGTTGATCTTTGCTGAAGTTGGTTGATGAAAAAGAACCAGTTTGCGTCAGAGAATCTTGGTGAATGGAAAAGTCAAGGCCGAAGGCCTGGCACAAAACTTAGGGTTTCCTGGAGCGTTGCAGCTCACATTTTCATCTTTTCAGAATACAACAAAACCACCGACTCTGGGCGGGTCCCTGGTGTGGGGCCTTTAAGTTCGGAGAAGATTCCCGCCTCTCAAGATGGGCTTGTCCAATGAGAAAGGCCGGAATCCCAAGTGGGAGTTTTGAGATACTGGGGAGTTTTATGACTCTTTGTGTGGAAGCATGGTAATTTGCATATGGAACTTGAATCAAAATTACTAAAGATTCTCAGGACACTAATATATTGCCTATGTACCAACATATAATAAACACTCTCATTTAGATCATCAGAAGACTAATTCATAGATACTAAACATGGTAGGATTATACAGTATATATGTAAGATGACATGAATGAGTGTTTCAATCATAAGCCAGCATAAAACAGTATAAAATCTCAAAGACAACATACACGATGATCTGAAGGGTATGTGTGTTCATTCAAAGAAAGGTTTTCCTATGAATTAATTAGAAAAGAGTCCATTTCTACTGTGCACTGTGTCTCTTCCTTATGAAATAGGCAGTGATTTTCCCTGCTCACATTCCATTAGGTCGTAAATGTATCTGGTGTCAGGGTTGCCGCAGACATCCTGGCATCCAGTCTATTGGGTGAGGGGACTGTGACGATTTGTTAATCTAATGAATAACTGATTTGTTAAATCAAATGAAAAATTGTGTGTTTGATTGGTCCAGACGCTACACCTGACTAAATGTAAATTTAAATTCCTGCTGTGGTGTAAATGTTTTGAATGTGTTATACCCGGTCATCAGTGTTTCGCGATCATCTGAGGTGTAGATGTATCAAGTAAGCTGTAAATATCACTTATAAGTGACCCATCGACGACATATACGCGAGTCCATTCTTATCAGTAATGCAATTTATTATCAGCTATGCATCTTCTGGCAATTGTTATAACAACTGTTCAATTTTCGTTGAGGACTGTGGCTGCATCACCGGCATAATTGCACAAGAAAGGCACGCGAGTGTCGTTCAGTTTTGAGTTTGCTGGAAAATCATACTGAGTAAGTGCACAGTATAGTGTATAGTAATTGTACTTTTATTATGCCTAATGCAATTATATTTTAACACTATCAGCCACAAATAATGTTTCTTTGTTATTGGCATTCTGTTTTCTCATCAAGCAGGACTATGCATATACTAAGGTACTGTGAAAAATAAATGCAAATTATTGTTTATAAAATTATTTTAGGACTGTGAATACATACTCTCGCGTTCACCTGCATCTCACACAGGATGGGGTCTCATTCAGTTTTCCATAGAGTTCAATAGAAAATCTTATAGAGTATGTGCATTCACTATTTTACAGATGTTACTTTCATTTGATTTATTTACTTTATGGTAAAATATGTGTGCTATGTGGTAATTCGGTTATTTTTCTATAAATTAGTACTAGTATCAGTGACCATCACAATAATGTTAATAGTGTAGTTTATCATGGAAAACAGAGACTGATGTTGACATGTTCCACAGACTCTG